TCAAAAAATCTGATTTTTGAAATGTGAAAATTGTTTTGTTATTTTTGAAATAGGGTAAAGATAAAGTAGGATAAATGAATTTTTCCCATTATGAAATTCACCTCAAGCCCGGTGAATAACAGGTCTAGTCCTAGATATGATTAAAAAGTGATCAAACAAAAGAAAATTGTGAAGACAATACAAGTAAAACAAGATATAATTATTAATAGGAATATTTCTTTCTAATATTTACTATTTTTAATCATAATAAGTAGAAAAATGTTAAGGGATAAAATTAAATATCGAATAAAGATGAAAATATAGACTAACTTATATAGTTAACATTTTAAAATAGAATATCAAGTGTTAACATGGTATTAGACTCCAACAAGCGATTGGATCCGATTAAGAATTTAAAAAAATGTTTCAAAATTAGAATGCGTTTTTTAATAGTAAATTTTTGAAAAATGTGTGATTAATAAAAGTAGTAAAAAATTTTGAATTAATGTAAAGAATATTTTATCGTCGGAATGTTTGATTCAAAATGAATATGAAAAACAAAAAAAGATTTTTGAAAGAATGATAGTCAAACACGAAATAAATTGACCTTTTAAAATGACATCTCAAATCTTAATAAAAAAATACATTATTTATACAAATTTAGCTTTTGTTTTGGAAAAAAATTATAAGTTCTATAAAATATGTGGTTATGAAAAAAAAAAAGATGCAATAACCCTATTGATTCGTTACGCGTTCTCATCTATTGACAAATCTTTAGATTTATTGGACTAAGTACTGTCTAATCGCTCGACATATTTTTGAAAAAATATTACTAGATATCCATTTCAAGATAATAATGTAGTGTATGAATAAATTGTACGATGTCATTTAATTCTCACATCATAAAATTATTTAATAGGTATCAAACTTCAATTCTTCAATAATCGAGCTCTTTAGAGAAAAGCATGTGTATTTAAGAAGAAAAATGTGCTTTTGAATATTCAAGTGGAATTGGCTACCGAAATGTCATGATCCACACCTAATCTCCACCTACTTTTCACCAAAATTGTTAGGAAAATACGTCAGGGAATGTGTGGAAAAAGGGAATATTTTGGTCAATTTTTCTATTTAAAAAATCGCAACTTCGTGTGGACTGCATAGGAGTACTCGAGTGGTGTTGAATTTTGTACTTTCACTTTCAAATTTAACCTATCTAAATACAATATGTATAATTAAATTGTATTCGACCCTACCATGATTAAGATTTTAATCTTTTTTTATTTATTTATTCCTTAACACCGTATAATGTTTCCTAATCCAAATTATTAAACACGCAGTTCATAATTAATGTGAGCCGCAAATGCATTATTCAGTTCGATTCATACATAGTTATAATTTCAATTTTGTAACAACTTTAATCAATATTTTTGCAACTTCTTTTTATCGGTTGTGTTTGTAGCGATCGAGAATTTTAAATTATTATCTTGAAAAACGTGTTGCTAAATTTTAACCCCGAATTTTAAAATGAAAGCGTGTTCGCCTAGCCGTTATAAAATCAATTTTAATCTCTTCAAGTCAAGTCCAATCCCGAGTAATTTTAAAGTATCCAATCCCTTATCATTTTAAAGTCTAATTACTTATTAGTCCAAATCTTGAATGTTTATGTCCAATTTCACATAGGCCAAATTATGAAAATTCTTACGGCCCAAATTCTTAGCCCATTTAAGCTCCTAGGGATTTGTGCCCTAAAAATTTACTATTTTATTTACTCTCATTTCCTCCCTCTCCTCACAATTCACGCAGCTAGCACTCTGGGTAAGGGAAAACTTCATCTCTCACAAATTTTACTTCAATTTAGTTTACTGGAAAATCATGTTGATGCTGGAACCTTAATTTCTAGCACCAACAAGATAACGATTCCACTCAAACTCAGCCAAACCCAGTGCAAGCACACATGAGCTATAGTCTCCCAAGCTGCAGCCATTCAACCCAGAACCACCAACACCTAAGCTTCGAACCAAGCTACAGCCCCCCTTCCAGTCACAAATTCGAACCGCCAACCCAACCAAGACCCCAAGTTTCCCAGCCAACCGACTACATCCCAGCTGAAAACCCAGCTGCAAACACCGAATTCGAATCACCGCCACCATCTCCAAGTACCCCCACCGCACACGGCCAACAAAAACACCCAAAACCGCCACTCCCACACCTCAAAAATCAACACAAAACAGCCACATAAACCAAGAAAAACCATAAACCCATAACTTACCTCATCCTTTTACCTATTCTCGAGATCGATTGTCGCCAAGAAACCCATGAACTCGAACCCTCCCGCTTCGGTTCTTTGACTCGTACGCCAAAACCCCTCCCAGCCACCCACCCTCCCTCACACCAGCGCCACCACGCGACGGTGGCCCTGACGCCGCTTCGCCGGCGGTTGGGATGGAGGAAGGGGCAGAACCCCTTCCCCGTCGAGACTCGAGAGCTCTCACTCTCTCTGGTTCGAAATATGAGAGAGAGAGAGAGAGAGAGAGAGAGAGAGAGAGAGAGAGAGAGAGAGAATTTTTGTTATTTTAATGGAGTTTGAATGCTTTATTGGCTATTTAGAAGAAATAATGTGAAACAATAAAGGGGATGAATATTACATCTTTGAAGATTATTCTTTTCCTTTGATCTTCTCTTACGAGGCTTCGGGAGAAAATTCGACGCAAGACATGCAGCAACAATGTACCCCGAATATGGACGTGGAAAGGGAAGACTTTATTACTCGTTATTTTTTGCTTTTATTTTAGGCGTCTTCACCATAGGCGAAGCTTCATTATATTACACAGCTGGAATAATTGTTTCAGAGAAAAAATGAACCTACTTTCTTCAACACGAAAATCATAACTACAATTATTAAAGTCCTACACATTTGTGTATTAATTATCATGGTTTTTCAGTAAATCCTCGTCTCTTTGGCAACAGCCTAAACCTGCAAACGAGCCATTGACTAGATCATCCTTGTTGTCACATATGGCACCTTGTCTGGTAATTTTGGTTAATACGGCGCCCTGTCAGTTGGAATTCTCATAGCTTAAATTTTCATTCAATTTTTTGAGGCATCTAATCTCCAACTTTTCTGAAATAGACAACTGGATCATCTTTGCCATCGTGCATCCTATCTAGTAATTCCTATATACAAAAGCACAAGTATCACAACTTTTGTATATTGTAACCTAATAATTTTACAAACATATGTTTTCTAGAATAGATTCTTATGTAATTGCAAGTCTACGCTTGTCCCTATACTGATCATTAAAGTCAGCGGAATTTTTTTTTGAACTTTTCAAGCCACAAACATCTTATCTTGACTAGAAAATTCTCCTCTTGAAGTGACTAGAGGGGCAATTTAGTAAAATGAAACTAATTAAGATAAGATAAGATGTTGATTGACTTAGCCAAAGGCTTACAAATTGATTCCCTTTTTTTTTTTAATATATTTTTCTTTCTTTTCTTTTCAGCTATAAAAATCTTCAATAAAATAATATTACACGCAAATTCAAAAATTTTCCTTATTTTCTAATCATACATTTCCATCAATCTATTATTCTAAAATGTATTTTTCACCTTTTAATGGAGCTCAAACAGGCTCTATATAAGAAATCATATTGCAAACATGTGTTTGTACAATACTTAGGTTGTAATTCTGTTACTACAATACAATCTAGGAAAAAGAATTATAACTAAATTCGCCATGGGATTTCATATGCTTTTGCTGCAAACCCACTTCTTTCTAGCAACAGAAATATGCACCTACTAACAAATTGGCACACTCACAAAAACACTCCAAGAGAAAAAGTTTATTTTCTTCAACAAATTAGTTTTTATTTAGCATACTTTCTCTTACAAATGTTTCGATCTTTTTACCAACAGAAATTTATACTTGTATAGAGAAAATTTTATTTAATGTGGACACACAAATCCAACATATAATTCATGTAACATTATAGATGAATTTATGCACTTGTAACATTATAGACGAGTTTATGCACTTCAGATCTAATACATTTTATGTGTATTATGAATTCTATTAATATAATAGATTCATTATCCTTCTTCTAGAATCAATGGTAAATAGATTATCAATATTCAATTATCATCTTTAACATTCATAGTCTTTGTTTGAACTCCATTATTTGAAAAAAATCAATTTTGGAATAGTGTTTTTTGGATAATGAGTTGTTAAAAAGTAAGGAAAATTTTTGGGTTTATGTGTAATATTATTTTATTGAGAGAATGTGTGATTGATAAGAAAAGAGGGAAAAATCAATTAAAATTTAATGGGGGTCAAACATGAGCATAAAAAGTTTAGATAAACTTTCAACATGGTCAATTTCAGAAGATATCAAGAGGTAAACTTTCAATCTAAATACGATCAGCTTTAAAAATAAAAAGTTTAGGCTCGGAGTCTTGCAATAGCATTAGTTATGGCATATACCTTTTCCACTGTGAAAACCATAGAAAATGTCATATATTAACTTTCTTAACTTTTCAACTACTCGTTACGTTAATTTTTATCAAAATTGCTTAAACTTTTACCAAAGGCTTTGTCAAACAACCTCTCCGTACACTGTGAATTTGTGTAAGTAGAATGAAGGTCCTTTCTCATTTCACCTGCCAAAAGAACTATAAAGCAATGCACCTTTTCCTCAATATTGTTGTGTTTCGTCCTGTTGCTTTGCAGAGTCAAGTAATGATTTGTTGATGCACTGCGGAGTACTGAGTGATTGACACGAAACTAAGATAAATTTCAAAATCTATTTTTTTAATATAATTATTTTAATTTGATAAAAAGAATGTTTTTTTGTAATTTATAGAAGAGAAAATGCAAACAATAAATTTTAACCACATATAGAAATATTTAGTGCATATTATTCAAAATCAGCTAGCTAGCAGATAAAACATAAACAAATCAATCAAAGAAATTGAAGTATATTAAATTTTACGGCAATGCAACGTAATTTTCGACAATGAAACCATAATAACCATTGCCCGCTAAACACTTCAAGAGGAGACTTTTCTAGTCAACATAAGATGTTTGTGGCTTGCAATGTTACATAAGAATCCGTACGAGCAAACCTGTGTATATATAGTTCGTGGGTTGGAGTCGGTTAGACTACAATAAAACCATGGGATTGCATTTGCATTTGCTGCAAGCCCAAGTTGTAGTAGCTTATCCACATTCCAACCACTATCTAAGCAGACATCTTTAATTTTAAGAGCTGGTTGATCAATATGTGATACATGCCTGGACAAAGGTCCATCCTCTAACCAATGGGCAAACCAGAACGAGATAGAACCTTCCCTGATTCGCCATTGACTATTGTTGATCACCTCGGGAATGCATCCCACTATAGAGCACCAAAATCGAGAGCCAGTGCGGCGAAGAGTCGAGACATCAACCAAACCGTGCTTAGCATATTTTGCCCGAAAAAATTTAGCCCATAAACAATCTGATGATAGTAGCTTCCATGCAAACTTCATGTGTAGGGAGCGTTGGACATCTTCAAATTTTCTAACCCCAATTCCACCCTCAGCCACTGGTCTGCAAAGCTTCTCCCAAGAACACCATTTTTTCCTAGTCTTTCCATTAACCTCACCCCAAAAGAAAGACGAGAGAATGGAGTTAAGTCTTTTGAAAGTAGATTTTGGTACATTCAACACTGACAATAAATGGGTAGCCATACACGTAAGGACATGTCGAAGTAAAACCAACCTGCCTCCTTGCGACAACAATTGCAACTTCCAACCTGCAATTTTCTTCCTAATTTTCTCCACCAGAGGTTCAAGATGGCGAGCTGTCAGCCGACCCTGTACCACCGGAACTCCCAAGTAAATAACTGAAAACTGCCCCTCCTTAAAGCTTGACTCTCTTAGTACCTCTCCTTTCTGAGCCACTGAGCAACGTTTTGAGAAGAATATAGCAGACTTCATTTGTTTAGATCTCCATCGTATGCCCAAAATTCCAGACATCTTTCTCCAAACTTCATTAGCAACATCGCCTGTACTCAGAACATGGCTGATAGTTTCTTCCATTCCCATAAGACAGCAATCACAACGGGAAGCTAAGGACACGCCCATTTGACGAACTCGATTATCAACACTTAAAGCTCCAGATAAAGCCTTCCACATTAACACTAACATTCTCTTTGGTATTGCAGAATGCCACACCCATTTCGCCCAGGAGGTTTGAGGAGACCGAACTCTGATCATGTCCCATGCACCACTGGAAGAGAAATTGCCTCGACTACTAGGTTTCCAAATAAGAACATCCTCCCCTTCTCTACATTTGCTCACTTTAGCCATAACACTAGCAGCTTTGTCCTCCCCTACAAGTTGTAGTAGTTTATCCACATTCCAACCACTATCTAAGCAGACATCTTTAATTTTAAGAGCTGGTTGATCAATATGTGATACATGCCTGGACAAAGGGCCATCCTCTAACCAATGGGCAAACCAGAACGAGATAGAACCCTCCCTGATTCGCCATTGACTATTGTTGATCACCTCGGGAATGCATCCCACTATAGAGCACCAAAATCGAGAGCCAGTGCGGCAAAGAGTCGAGACATCAACCAAACCATGCTTAGCATATTTTGCCTGAAAAAATTTAGCCCATAAACAATCTGATGATAGTAGTTTCCATGTAAACTTCATGTGTAGGGAGCGTTGGACATCTTCAAATTTTCTAACCCCAATACCACCCTCAGCCACTGGTCTGCAAAGCTTCTCCCAAGAACACCATTTTTTCCTAGTCTTTCCATTAACCTCACCCCAAAAGAAAGACGGGAGAATGGAGTTAAGTCTTTTGAAAGTAGATTTTGGTACATTCAACACTGACAACAAATGGGTAGCCATACACGTAAGGACATGACGAAGTAAAACCAACCTGCCTCCTTGCGACAACAATTGCAACTTCCAACCTGCAATTTTCTTCCTAGTTTTCTCCACCAGAGGTTCAAGATGGCGAGCTGTCAGCCGACCCTGTACCACCGGAACTCCCAAGTAAATAACTGGAAACTGACCCTCCTTAAAGCTTGACTCTCTTAGTACCTCTCCTTTCTGAGCCACTGAGCAACTTTTTGAGAAGAATATAGCAGACTTCTCCTTGCTGATCTTTTGACCAGACCAGTGCTCATAAAGAAATAAGACTTTCATGAGTTCTTTGATGGACCTTTTACCTCCGTTAGCAAAAATAACAAGATCATCAGCATACATCAAATGAGTTATCGCAGATGCGCCCCTTGGGTGTGAGAAATAACCAATCTGTCCCTCTTCAAAGCTTCTCTTCAGCAACCTAGTCAACACCTCTTCCATGATAATAAACAAATAAGGGGACAAAGGATCTCCTTGACGAAGACCGCGCGATGATTTAAAGAAGCCTTTCATAGTTCCGTTCATCATAACCGAAAACCATGGTGTGGATATACATTGCTCAATTAATTTACAAAACCTCACGAGGAACCCAAAGGATGATAGGACATGAAGTAAGAACCTCCAATCCACCCTATCATATGCTTTAGCCATATCTACTTTAACCATCACATTCCCCCCTCGAACCTTTTTATTCAAAGAATTGACTAATTCCTGAGTGAGAGTAATGTTCTCAAAAATACTCCGACCTGGGATGAACGCCCCTCGTTCTTGAGAGATGATCCTAGACAGGATAGCACTCATTCTCTGCACCAAGATCTTCGAAAAAATTTTATATACCACAGAGCAAAGACTAATTGGTCGAAACTTATCAAAACCATTAGGAATCTCAACCTTTGGGATCAGCACAATATATGATGCTGTATAAAATCGAGGTAACATTCTCCCTCCAAAAAAATCCTTCGCTGCATCCACTAAATCTCCTTCAATAATATCCCAACACTTGATAAAGAAAGCTGCCCCATATCCATTAGGACCTGGGGCGCTATCCATCGGTATCGAAAGAGTCGCAGCTCGAACCTCCTATTCTGTCGGTAAGGCACATAGAGCCTCTCCTTCCTCTAGAGTAACTGTAGACTCGATAATCTGTGATAGATCAGTTGTATTTGCAGTGGATTTGACAAAGTGGTGCCGTCTGTAAGTTTCATTTGATTCAACTTTGAAGTTCTACGTCTCTACAATACTACAACCTGGTAAAACTTGGAATTTTTATCACCATCAGTCAACCATTTCTTTTTTGCTAGTTGAGCTAGTCTAATTTCCTCCCTTCTTTGCCACTCTTCCAGTTCAATCTTAGCATTCAAAAATTCTTGTTCCACATCCTCCGAACATTGTAACCTACTATCAAGCGCCTCCACGTGTTCTTCCAGCTCCAAAATAACATTATCTACTCTCTTAAAGACTTGTTTATTCCAAACCTTCAAAGCTTCTTTAGTAACCTTCAGTTTAGCTGCTAATTTTTCTAAACCACCCAACACCAGGCTCCTATCATGGGACTTCCATGCTGCCTCCACACACGGCAAAAACAACTCATGCTCGCACCACATTCGTTGGAAACGAAATGGAGACGGCCCATAAGAGATAAACTGCTTCTGCAAGTGAATAATCATAGGACGATGATCAGAAGACATACCAGACAAGTACTTCATGCCTGCATCTGGGAAGTCACGGAACACCTCATCACTCACCAGTGTTCTGTCAAGCCGCGCCCAGCTTCTCGTCAAGCCTTCATGTCCATTGCACCAAGATAGTTTTTGTCCCATAACTGATAGCTCTAATAGGCCACACCTATCAATGCAGTCGTTGAAATCTTCCATAGCCTGAAGAGGTCTAGGACATCCACCTATTCGCTCAGTATCATTTCTAATGATGTTGAAATCACCAGAAACCACCCAAGGAAAACCAATCATCCTAATCCTCTCCAACTCCTGCCAAAGAGTTCTCCTATCCAAAGCATTACATTTCGCATAAATGAACGAAACTAACATCTTGTACTCCCCCTTCCTAAAAACCCCATGTAAAGCTTGATTCGAAAAATGAACCCAATCAACCTTGTAGTCTTCACTCCAAAAAACCCATAATTTACCTCCTTCTTTCTCATTTGATATGAAGTTTGGTAACTTTATTTTCTGAGCAAGAACCTTCATTTTATCTTCCCTATGAAAAGGTTCAGCAATCCCTAGAATTGTTACATTGTGTTTCTTCACTAACTTTCCTATCCTCCCTTGAGACGTGCCCACCCCTCGCACGTTCCACATTAAAAATTGATCAATCATAAATCCAGCTTTGCAGGGCGTGCTCACACCCTTTGTGATGCTCTGGTTTCCCGAGGAGCAGTTTCCTTTAATTTCGTAGTCGATTTATAAACCTCGAAATCAGACCTGTAGTCTGGCTCTTTTACTTCTTCTCATTCCTTATTTTCCTTCTCACAATCAGATTCCTGGAGGATAGGGCTATGTTGTTGTTCATCCACATCATTCAGCACACTCACATCATCACCATCAATATTATACCTCTCCTGCACAGCTAATGCCTGATCATTTTCTGCCTCCAAAACTTCATCAACCACACTGGGAGGTTCCTCAGTTAGACACATAACTTCCTCACTATGTGTTTTCTCAACACTGTCACCGATAATAGGAGTATTTCTCCTAACACCTGTATCAACAAAATCTGATTCACCTTTCAAATTCTCAACCTCACGTAATTCAGAATCCAACAGTAAAACTGCACTATTTTCCGCATGAACCTCTTTTCCTCCATCCGAACCACTATCCATCATGTTCACCATAAGAGCAACCTCCTCAACCGTCTCCATCGTGTCACACAAAATCCCCCCTTCCTGCACTTGTTTGCCTGCCGCCAATGACGATTCACCATTTTCATTTATTCGAGTAATGACATGTTGTTCTACTATATCCTCCAACTTCTCTTTATTCTTTTCTCCCCCCTGCCCCTGTTTTTTGCACCATTCCTGTCTCTCCATCCCTTTTTGCGTGGGAACGCGCTTCTGTCCAGCCCGGCACATGGATTCAGGGTGCCCTTGTCGACCACAATTAATACAATAAAAACCTGGGTTTTCATACTAAACCTCCTGCCAAAATGTTCTCGATGAAGCAACAATAGGAAATCCACTAACTGGTTCTGAGACAAATCCACTTCAACACACATTCTAGCCCATGTAGCCGGAGAACGATTCAATGTCGCATGATCTGTACCCAAGTATCTACCGAATCTAGTCGCCAAAATTCTTAAGCAATCTGGTCAATACAAGTGCATTGGCAACCCTGGCAAGTAAATCCACTGTGGAGCAATAGAGGATTCTCTCTTGAATTCAAAATCTGTCGCCCATTTGAAAAGCCGAAACATTGCTCCATCCAGAGAACGACCCTCTCTTGTCCACACATGTAGATAATCTGTTTCATTTTTCAATTGAATCAAGACATGAGTTGCATCCATAAAACTGATTACTGGAATCGCCTGAAGAC